ATGGCGCAGTAAAAATATGAAGTCAAAGCAAACCGAAAATCAAAGAGGGTTTTTAGATTATTATGATCAAGCTGCTTTTTTCCCTCCACACACTGCTGTATTATACAGTACTGTGGTTGGAGCTGAAAGACATCTGAATAATAAAACGTCTGCAGTGGCTGCCATATGCCTGGTATAGCCTCAATAACCTCTGCCCTGTGCACAGAATATGCACTTACTAATCTAGCCTTGTATGAGCTGCGCCGCAGACAAACCACACTTTTACAGCATGGGACGCTCACATTATGGGTCATCAACTCAAATGACAATACATCGATCGCACAGAGGACAGGCTTTGGGGAGAGAAAAAAGTACTGTACACAAGGACATAAATAGCCATTTCAGATTTTAACAGCGACAAGAAGCCAGCCAATTGCAGGCTCTATTTTTAGGTGTGCCGGTGGCCTGAGGCTGGCAGCTTTGAGAAGGATGTGTACTTTTCTACAGTTCCTTCCCAAAAATCAACGCTGTCCTCGCTGGCGACAATCACAGGGCAGCTGTTGTGGCTAGGTGGCCCGGCCCCAGCTTGCCTCACCCTGCTGCTTTGTGCCAGCCTAAGAAAACCGTCTTTGCTACCCAAAATTCACACCCAGCCTGCAAAAACAGGCCGGAAGGTAAACACAAAAGCAAATGTGACTCGATGTGTTTGCATCCGGTGAAAATTATGGAGTTTTATCAACGCTGGTGGCGGTAGGGGCTGCATTTCTAAATTTACATGAGGCAGGATGCCTCGGAGCCAATTTATCTTCAAAAAAAACAAAACAAAACAAAAACAGACAGAGAAAGAGAGAGAGACCTAAATGACCTTCCTCCACAGGTCACAACTGATAATGGATTACTGAAATAGGCACTTTTTGGCAATTCGTAAATTGATGTCATGTCAAACCCGACTTTAATTTCCTGAAACCTTTTGAACATTACAGTGAAGTCAAACTTTCTCCAAAGGGAAAAAGCGGCTCATTTTTATATATCTTACCACAGGTAGACACTATCTTTTTCAAATGTACACACACACCTAGACACGCACACACAGAGTTAGGCATCCCTGTGTGGACTAATTGTTGACAGGTGGCCCTAATGTTCTCCTTTGAAACCAAAGTGTGATTTACGACCACGCTCCCCGAGACCCCGGCTTTCAGCACCGCTACTACAAACTTATCTTTTTCTCCCTGCTTCTGTCGCCTACCCCCTCCCACTTTTATTCCTTCTGCTCTATCTCTTCTTCATTTTTCCTCAATTGCACCTCATTACTTTGCTAAGTCACTTTCACCTCCGAGCCCACTTTGATGTTTCTGTGCTTCTCTGTCTCTCATCGCAGCACAGCAGTGACTCTCCAGACATCCTTTTAATGTTTGATGAACTATTTTTCACACCGTGGAGGAATGTGTCCATGCATGTACGTGTGTGTGTGTGGTGGGGGGTTGGGGAGCTACACGAGGAAGACAGGAAGGACAAAGAAAGCAAGGGCACAGTCACTCAGTATGTAAGACCTGACCCTGAAACCTCATGTGCCAGTCCAGCATCTTCGATCAACTATTTGAAGACTTTTGGGCCGCACAGTGCTGGGCGTAGGATGAGAGACATGGATCATCTATAATATTTCCATCTATAATATTTATGGCAATTATTGCTATTATTCAGAAAAATAGCCTGTGTTCAATATTGTGAAACACCTAAAAATTGAATGGATTTCATTATAACGATGCTAAACCCTCCAAATATTTATTCTGTCTTTTAGCAGTCCAGCCGATTGACCTCGAGCAGCAGTAATCTGCTATAGTGCCCAACAAACTCAAACACATTTTCAAATACGTGTTTTTAAACTGTGTATAATTTGCACAAACAAACAGACAAAGGTAAAAGACTGAGACCAGACTACGGTGTCACATTTCTGCCGTATGTGAGCATCCAAGTAGTCCAGTGATAGGAATCGGTGCCTCCACAGCAGCAACCGATAATATGGTATGAAACAGTGTTTACGTTGATGCCACAGTGTAACGCACTTACTGAAGCAGTAAATCACGGAGGGTGTGATTGCACTCAGAGTGACCAATCTTAGCAGACGAGCAGCCGTACCTCATGAACCACAGCAGGAAAAACAGGAACAGGAGAGAACAGCATCGAATCAACTGAACTCAGAACTACAAGGCTTGTAATGCCTCTGGGTTAAACAGATGTTTCATATTGACAGTTCAAATAAGTGAACGAAAAACACTGCAACAACATCCACTGAGCTAATAACATCCAGCAAAAGATAAAGTGAGGTGAGTTCATCTGATATGGCATTGGGAATACATCAGATAAAAACAAAAAGCCTGGTCACAGGATACAGTGAGAAAATTGTTAGATATGATAAGACACGATTTTAAATATTTATCTTCCAACTGCAAGAGGTTAGGTTCAAACAAAACTGTCCATCTAAATATTTTACTTCAGCACATTAACACTTTTTGCTGGAACACAACATGGGATAAATAACAGTGTCTCTCTTAAATAAAAAAAAAAAAAAGATGTGTACATATCCAAAGGAGTACACTGCTCTGTGGAATAGATCACACATCTGCTTGCATGACCTTCACTTTTGAAGTTAACGAACTGCTTGTTACAGTATTTTAAAGTTCAGGAGCTTGTTTCCACGGCAGTAAGATGAAAAGTATGTCACGAAAAAACATGACTTAAGTTTTCAAACCTCTTCTACTATAGCATGCAGAATTACCCACCAATCGATTCCCAGTCATGTGGTTCTCTGAAGTGTTTATCAAGTTATCCACCCGCTACTGGCAGCAGCACATTTATCAAAGCTCAGCGATATTCCAGGAAGACCATGACTCATAGAAACTGTGATAATTTACTCCCAGTAACACCTTTGGGGTCAAACAGTGCAGGTTACACAAAGTCTGTATTTATCAGCGTGCATCTTTGCCAGAAAGGTACACACAGCTAGTGTGAGTGGCCTGCAATAGTGTTTGACAAACAAGGGAGACAAGGTTGTGGCAGAGTCCCTGGAAAAGTGGCTCTTGTGACAACCAGTCACTGGAAACACAAACACACATGCACACAGACACACACAGACTCCACTGCAGCAATCTCTAACCTGAAGTAACACTCCATTTAGCTCACCATTTTTATATCACTGCACAATCACGACAAAATACTTGCAGACGGAGAGATACTTGCTGAAAAAGAGCGACTGTCGTGCTTACAGTCGTCATGTGGACAGAAACACATCTCTAGGTGAATGCAAAGGTTGCCCCCTCTCTGCTTAACGTGTTAGAGGGTGGCAAGAGGGGGTGGGCAATAAGTCTACGCCGTATGTACGCAGTAACTGCAGACCCGTCTGAAGACCTGTGTCGTCACCGCTGTCCCAGGAATGTCACCAACTGTTGCGTTAATGGAGGCCACAGCTACTGTGATTGGCCTGCTCAGTACAGTTGTTTCCTCTTATGCATTTCTGCTGCAGTTTTCAAAAGAAACTGTGAGAGAAAAATAACTGTTGCCTCAAATATAAGGAACAACAATCATACCCTCAATACAAGGACTTGGAGACAACAGCAGATTCCTGGTTGGAGATTTCATGTCTGAACAAACAACATACAGATTTGCCTACGGAAAAAAAACATGACCACAACAAAGTGTGGGGACCCAGGAGGGAAAAGGCCCAGTACTGCATTTGTTTCTATTATGGCTAGAACAGCATATAACACCAGGCCACAGCCACAAGGTAATTAACACATAAAACACCACCCACAAGTATAAATGCTGGGAACGGCATTGGCCACTTGGTTAGGTTATATCTTAGATTATACAAAGATTCTCTGCAGAAGTCGAAAAGAGTGTAAGTGAGCAACACTAACGTGGCCGCTAAGGCATTACTAACAAAACCTGCTGTTTGTAAACTATGTTGTTGATGTAATTGTCAACGGATCATTAAAAACAGTCAACCTGAAGCATTTTAATATGTTCGTCTGAAACAGGTCTGTGTTGTAAATGAGACACAGAGTCTCAGTGGAACTTCCTGTATAAATAAAGGTTCAATAAATCAAAATTAAAAATGAATCTGACAACAGGTAATTTAAGTCATTTATGATGTAAACACATTACACACTGATTTCAGCACTCGGTATGTGAGGATATAACTGTATCAAAACTTCATGGGTCAGTATGTACCTTATTTTTGAAGTTGCGAAAAGTAAATGAGTAAACTAACAGAAACAAGTTTTTGGATTTCCTGTTAACTTATATAAACTCTCTATGACGTTTGCTGCCAGATTAAATTATTCTCAAAAATGGGGGCTGGAAAAAAAACCTCATAGAGAGTCTAATGAACTTTCGAGGCTAAACTTCCAAGTATATCACAGCTGGTAAACAGTTCTGGGTGGAATCCGTGGTCTGTTCTAAGGATGTGAATGTGTCAACATAACCAGACTAGATGAGAATTACTGTTTAGTTTACAGAGATTACAGAACTGAGGAAGCTGCTTGTCATCTAGTTTTGGAACAATCATGTATTACATCATGACTAACACATTTATTACTCACTGTGACAACTCACTAATATACAGAGTGTATCAAAAAGAATAATCCAGTTTTAAAAAGCTCTATTTTTTAAGAAATGGACATAGAAGCCAAGTAAGTAATTTTTGAAACATGTGGCTGAATATAAAGTTTTACATAAAAAACTCAAAATGTTCACAGGTGCTCAGTGTGTCCCCTCTGGAAGCAGCATATGTCCACACAGTACTCACACCCGTCTGAGCATGTCAGGAGTCACAGCTGTTGCTATGCTACCAACCGGCAACCACTTAAAACTCCTAAATCTGCTCTTCCTAACAGTTTTCATTGTTACCAGTCGTGTGTATGTATTCTTCTGACCACAACTCTACTGCTGAGACGCCAACTTGGACTTCTAAAACTGAAACAAGTTAATAAGTGTCTCACTTCTTCACCCTCCCAGCTCCTTACCATGTAATGGAGACCCTGAGGGGCTACTGGACAGGCCAGGTATGGGGCTACAGCGCCCACCGATGCCTCCTCCACCTAAGATGCAGCCACTTCCTGCGAGACTTCCTGCTCCTCCTCCTAAAGCAGCTGCCCTGTTCAGCTCCTGTTCAATCTCCTCCAATCCAGCGCTCTTTTGAAAGCGCGACATCCGGTTTACCACACGTGGGGACATGTGAGTCCGGGCACACGGTGCACCGCCGTAGGGGTTGATGGGAAATACATGCGTGGTGCCACGGAGGGTGCTGACGGCTACCCAGCGACTGTCCTGGCTGAAACACATGTCCTGTACCTGGATCCAGACAGGTGAAAAAAAAAATCACAGACAAAAAACAGAGCAGATAAATGTCACACCATAAGCACAAGTAGTGGAAATGTTGACACATACCACATAAAACTTTCTTTCTGAAAATTCCATTAAAGTGTAGAGGCTGGTCGGCGTGTAAAAACTGGAGAGAATGTTTTTGTGTTAGTCTAAACCATCTCACGTCCTCAGGGATCAGTCATTGGGCATCTTTTCTCTGTATCTGCAGCCCCTCAGTTTCATTCTTAGAAGCCACTTCTATGTGGATGATCCTCAGGTGCATACGCTCCTAAAACAGAATGATGCCTACTCCATACAAACTACACACTGAGTGACTTGAGAAACTAAGTACTTGGAGGGCGGTAAACCTCCTAAATATTTGGTCCTAATATCACTGGTGGGATGGCTCTGGGACAGTGTGGAAAGTCTACTGTCCCAAACACGGGTTTACAGTGGACCTTGATTTTAGATTTGCTGGTCAGAGAAGATACAGTGTTGAAATGAAGCTTCTTTCAGCTGAGACAGTTGGCAAAGATAAAAAGCTTTTCCACACTGGCATATTATCATTTGTGCACAATTCAAAATAATCCCATCTGTGAATATGGTCAAAGAGAGAGGCCTGGGCTTCTCTGCTGTCCCTGGGACCCAGAACTGTGGCAGAAAGTGGATGGATGGTCTCAAAATAACTTGATGAATGTGTAAAATATATTTACATGCCTGCGTATTTTATTCAGCACAGAAACATGGACGCAAAAGTAAACTACTCCAAAGTGCAACTAACTCTAGTGTGACTGGGCTATAGTGTTAATCGCAGAGATCAAGAGATATGACTGAGATGTCGACTAGCCTGACAGAAACAGACAACAGTTTTTGCAAGAGGTGACAATAAGATATGAGATTGTTTGGCGATAAAATAAATGACCAAGAAAAATGGCATCCTTATTTAGTTGCTCTTCTCCAACACTCAGGGAGCAGACATTCAAGAGAAGATAGGATCTCCCCGAGCACGTCAGACATGCAGGAAACCAGACAAATAGGCTGCATGAGACAATACAAGCACTGGAGAGTGGGAGCGAGAAAATGAAAAGACAAAGAGATAAGGTGACAGACTGATGAAATGATTGTGCGCTGAAACTGCATCTATCACTTGGCATGCCTTTAAAAAAATAAAAATAATAATAATACATATATCTATTATATCTATATGGCAGGCTGGAGAGTGTAGATCCAGGAGAAAGTTTACAAGAGGAATGCCTGACTCCTCAGTCAGCCAGCCAAAGAGAAAGCTCTGTCCCTCCAGGCCTTTCTAATCTTTTGCCAGGTCAGACGAGGTAATTGTCCCCAGCAATGACAGTTAATGGGGCATCCTCTGCATACCAGACAGTTACTTTACTTTACAAAGATGACTGAAAGAGGAGGGCTGACCTCTGCTGTAGCTTATAAGAGATGACTCAGAGATGAGAAAGAACTACTTTGTGTGTGTTGTAATTGGTCATAATAGACCTGTCAGGGCTCCAACAGTAAATGGGTCCTGGATATCATGGCCAAATCCATTTCGATCAGGTGGGGGATTACCTGAAGGGTGGCTATAATTGTACTTTCATGGTGTGACAACCATCCACATATCAAACATTTGTCAAATGTTATCTCAAAAAGGCGGAATGCATCTGCTTTCAGTCACATGCAAGGGCTGATGTGGAGGTAGCACATTCCTGAAAGACTGGATAGCTCTCCCTTGTATTTTCCAACAAAGTACTTGATGACATGTGTGACAGTCAGAAGATGATAAGACGAGTTTAATGCCTTTGTTTTTCTTTTTAAATCAGTCACACCAGGTAGTGAAGATTAAGCACCTCAGCTGACCTGGGAACAAGTCTGAAAGAATGACGAGAATGTGACAAAGATGTGACAAGATAAACACCTCTCACATGGAGGCGTGAGATGGACAATTAACGAGGGTTTATGTGGTTGTTAGCATCGGACGCCTCATCCTTCTCACTTTGACAGACTAACTACGATTACAAAAGTTACATAACAGGCCTCTGTTTGTCAATATTGTTACGGCAACCTAATTTGATCTATAACGATGGAAAAGCACTGTTAACTGTGAGCAGAAGCGTAATAGATGTAAACAGATCCATAAGTGTGTAAATGCTTTTAAACAATGTGCATATACTAAAGATGGCTGATGTGGGTTTTGAACACAAATGTCTTCTTGGGACTGGAGCTGCTGCTTTGTGTCAGAACTACAAGTTTAGATCATTTCCACTGCTTCACAAGAAATATCACAACATTAAAACAAGATGTTTTTAACATTAAAGTCAGTAAGGTTTTTAAATATTGACATATAATTAGCAAATACTCAAATCACATGTTTGCAAAAGAAGCCTGGTTACTCTGTGGAAGTAGGTTACAAAGGAAATCTGACAGTGACAGTCTGTCCCCAAAAACTCCATTTACACAGTGATTAGAATGTAAATAAACACATAAAAATACATTTTACATAATGAAACAATGGAAAGGCAACATGTCAACTGCTAAAACTCTTAAAATCTTTTTTTTTTTTATTTGCAATAGAGGCAAAAAATGGAGTTTTGTGCTGCTTAACAAAACACAGTGGAACATCTAACAACTAAAATGTTAATATAACTAGTAACATCTTAGTAACATGACTGGATATATATAAATAAAAGTACCCCAGAAATGAGGCAGAGAAGGGAGGGGTTCACCTCTCTTGTGTGGGCAAATAGATCAGCTGTTTCAAGAATAACATTTCTCAGTATTAAACTGCAAAGAATTTTGCTTTTATTATCTAAGGTACATAACATCGTTCAACCATTCAACGAATCTGGAGAACACAAAGAGTGAACATCAGTCAATCAGTATGAAATGCTGTGACCTGAGGGGCATTAAAAATCAGATCTCAGAAACACTGAAAACCAATATTAGTGAATATGCAGGTTCAAACTACTTTATGCAAGTTAAGAAAACAGTAAAGCAGCTTCTTTCTTTAGGCCTGAGCTAATTTAAAAATGTGTGAGGGAAAGTGGAATTTCAAATTGTTTTTGAAGATCACGCATGACATGTCCAGCATTATAAAGAAGAGAAGGCCATATGGGTGCATTTGTGAATTAATACTAATGATATACACATATATACGTATTACAACAGTATGTCTGAGAGTCTGGTTGCTTAACTGGCGTTCTTTCAGACGTCTTACCTTTTGAAAACATGTGCTGCATTACTACAATTCAATGTTATTTATACAGCACCAAATCATGAAAACAATCACCTCAAGGTGCTTAATATTCTTAATAAGCACCCTACAATAATATAGAAACAATCAGACAACACCCTATGAGCAAGCACTTTGGCAAAAGTGGGAAGGAAAAACTCCCTTTTATCAGGAGGAAACCTCCAACAGAACCAGGCTCAGGAAGGGGCGGGGCCATCTGCCCCAGAAGTCTATTGATTGAACAAAGGAGATACCAAACCACTGAGCAGCAAGTAAACACAAAATGCAGCTTCTAAATGAAGGTGTTTATTATTAAGGCCCTGTGTGCAAAAAAGTGGCTCCCCCCAGGTTATAACTTAAATGAACTGTGGTGTTTCACCTTTGGAAAGCTGAGTTCAACAGCCACACCCAGACCTGATTACTGCCACACCTGTTCTCAATCAAGAAATCGCTTAATAGGACCCGCCTGACAAAGAGAGGAAGATCCTCAAGAACCAGACATCATACCACGATCCAAGGACATTCAGGAACAAATGAGAAACAAAGTAATTGAGATCTCTCAGTCTGGAAAAGGTTATAAAGCCATTTCTAAAGCTGTGGGACTCTAGCGAACCACAGTGAGAGCCATTATCCACAAATGGTAAAAACATGGAATAGACGTGGAAAAAGTTGAAGTTTTTGAAAAGTGTGTCCTATTACATCTGGCGTAAAAGTAAAACAGCATTTCAGAAAAGGAAAATCATACCAACAGTAAAATATGGTGGTGGTAGTGTGATGGCCGGGCTGTTTTGCTGCCTCAGGATCTGGAAGACTTGACATAATTTCCTTAGAGATTAATAAAGCACTCTGATTCAGATTCTGAATCTTTGTGGTAATTCTGCTGTCTACCAAAACATCCTGAGGGAGACTGTCCACGACCTCAAGCTGAAGCACACTTGGGTTCTGCAGCAGGACGATGATCCAAAACACACCAAGTCCATCTCGGAATGACTTAAGAAAGACCAAATGAGGACTTTGGAGACGCTGTGGCATGACCTTCAAAAGGCAGTTCACGCTCAAACCCTCCAAGTGGCTGAATTACAACAATTCTGCAAAGATGAGTGGGCCAAGATTCGTCCACAGTGCTATAAAACACTCATTGCCAGTTACTACAAACGTTTGATTGCAGTTATTGTTGCTAAGGGTGACTAGGGCTGGGCAATATGGCCTAAAATTCATATCACGGTATAATTTGAAGCATGTGCGGTAACGATATATATCGCGATATATTCTTTTCTTCTGTATAACGTATTTTCCACACTATAAGGACTTAAAATCCTTTATTTTTCTCAAAAACCGAGAGTGTGCCTTATGTATGAATTCTGGTTGTGCTTACTGACCTTGAATCGATTTGGGCGTGCAAAAATCTGTTAAAAACGTTTTAGTACAACTTTGGTAAGCCGCACTGCTTGATGGATTGTCAGAGCATTACGGCTGCCGTAGCGAGGAGCTTCGGAGTAATCTGGGTCCTAAACTCCGTCAGCTTCAGGTCCCAAAGTCAAACGAACACTAAGAGTTAAAAACGGTCTAAATGATTTGATCTTTAATAAAATCATCAGCGTTGCTGCTTTACAAGGTGTAACAATTAAGTTTAACATCCAGGCATCCATGAAAACAGAATTTAATAAATTTAACGGAGTTAGAAGTTAACAGGAAGTTAGCTCGCTAGTTTCCACCTAAACATTTCATACCATGTTCTGACAGAGATTTTTGAAACAAATTCAAACGTACAGCTCTGCTACCACTTCCAACATAAATGAAGACAGAATCTAAACAGCAGTGGCGTTTGTAGGGTTACTGAAGTTGGACTACCTGGTATATAATGTTGTGCTACGTGATTGCTAGCGACACGCGGGGGGGCGGGCGAACATTTTTCTTGTAAAACAAAGGGGGGCCCAGCAAAAAAGTTTGGGAACCACTGCTAAAAATAAAGGCTGAAGAAATTGTGTTCTCACAGAGCAGCCTCATTACTGAAGCACAAATAAATGTGCCAGTTCATTTTTCATTCATTCAGATGACTGGACATCAATTGATGCTACAGACTGTTAAGTTTAGTAGAAGAGCCTCGTGGCTCTGAGCTCATCTACCTTCTGCTCCGCCTTCAGCCCCTTACAGCTGTTATCAGCTTGCAGGTCTGTTTACCTGGCCTCGGGTCACTGACAGCCAGCCGCATGTTTGGTCGCTGGAGACAGATAAGGCGTCCACCTCCACCTACCTAACTCAAGACTTTATGACTCCCAGTATGTTTCTGAGTTCTGTGTGTGTGTGTGTGTGTGTGGTGTGTGTGTCTGTGTGTTATTGTGGTGATAACCCCTGTCCCAAACACAGGCAGGGGCCGGCATTCAGTGTTTACAAGGGCTTGGATCAAAGCACCCTCAGTGTGCAGCCAGTCAGCAGACCTGACGTTTGGTCATACATTAACTGCAGGCAGGCTGTAGGAGTGTGTGTGCATGTGATGGTGTGTGTTCCCAGTCAATAATCCTGAACTTAACAAGGCCTGAAGTACTTTTGTTGAGCAAGCACTTCTCCTTTCTACTGTAATTAATGAGAAAAAGTCAAACTAAAAATAATCTTGAGAACTACAATCTTTTTTCTTTTCATTGTTTTATTAAATTAATTACCATATCCCTTCACTTCATTATTATAGACCATACATTTAGTGAAAGTGTCAAAGTGTAGGTGGTGAAAATTAGCTGCCCACAGCTAATATACTGCTCGATATACTCTTTTCTCTCCCTAAAGTATTATTAAATGACCACATGTAATAATGTGTCAACTCAAGATTTTAGCAGAGACATCCTCTTTAATTAAAACTTTCTTTTTTGATAAAGTAATGGTTACGTTTAAATCAGGTAACACGCGAGTGTTTCTTCACTCACTATGTATCTGTACACAGCTTTGCATTTAATCATTAGTTAAAATTCATCTCTGGCTCTCTTCCTCTGTAAGTCTTTTGTTCTGTCTCCCTTCATCACCAACTGGTCACACAGATAGCCGCCCCTCCCTGAGCCTGGTTCTGGAGGATGTTTCCTCCTGTTAAAAGGGAGTTTTTCCTTCCCACTTTTCACAAACACATTCCCAGTGGTTGTCTTAATGCTGGGGTTTCTCTGTATTACTGTAGGGTCTTTCCTTACAATATAAAGCAACTTCAGGTAACTGTTGTTGTGATTTCGTACTATAAAAACACAATTATGCTAAATTGTATAGAATAACAACACAGGTAATGTTTTAATGCTGTTTAAATGCTGCAGTTCATCGAGGGGGTGGAGCATGTTATTTTCTATAAACTGGATGAATGTTTTTCTTTACCAATCATGTATTTTTCTCATAAATGTATCTGTTTAAATGGGAATGTGGTTTGGAGGGGGACTGGTCCAAACCTGGATCTCACGCAAACTAGACAGCTAAGGGAAGGGTCATCTCCTGTCTACTACTGAAAGGAAATGAAGAAACAACTGAGGATAACTAAGTCATTAAATAAATGATAAAAGCTGTGAGTTTAACAGTTGATCTACATTCCTACCCACAATATGGTCATGAGATAGTGGTTGTTTCATCTTTGGAGAGAGGGAGAGTAGCTCTCAGTTCCGGTGGTCCAGGTATCTCAGTAAGATTATTCTTCGCCACCTAGGTTTTGCGCTAAAAAATATGAGGAGAAAACCCCTGGGCTGAACCGGGACAGCCTGGAAAGTTTATGGTTTTGAGCTGGTAAAATATCCCTGGAGCAGCCAAAGGAGACAGTCAGGGAGAGGAAGGTCCAGCCATCTACACTAAGATCTTTGCCAACACAGCTCAGCAAGGTAGTAAAAATGAGGTTGATGGATAAATAAATGCATTACTTTCTATTGTTGACCTTATGTATCACGCTAATGTTTTTAAATTTCATGGTCACTATTACACATACTTTTGTTCTATGGAGGGACAAGCAGTAATAAATTGTGTTTTGTTTGTAATACCGTACCTTTGTTCTTACCCTTTTTTTGGTTTCACTATCTTCACTATCTTAATCATATTGCAGTGATTTGACAGGAAGAAAGAAGTAATAATTATACTTACATACAAGTGCACAATTTACTACATTTGACTAGAATGTATGTGTATGTGAATCAATGCAATCTAAACACTCATTAAATATCTGTACTATTACTCCCAGTGGATGGTTGCAGTGTGCGTGTAGGTTTGAGTTTGTGTCAGACCTTGGCTTCGGTCTCCCCACGATGCAGCGTATAGAGATGGTGAACGGCACTCTGCGAAGATGCCCACGGGTGGGTGAGGATCTGGAAGACGTGAAAGTCATGTCCCAGGGTGTCAGCAGTTACCAGCAGCATTCCTACAAAGAACACATAGTCACTGACATCAGGAATCAGTCCGTTAGCCGGCTTCACTGTAAGCTGATTCTTAATGTGTGCTGTATAAATGGTTCTTATTTTATCGTGCAGCTGCTTGAATGCATGCCTTTTGTTTGTTTGTTTTTTGGCTAATGCTCAAATATTGTAATACGCACGGTTTAAAATGCACTTCACACTACATTTGTGTCATGTAGCAGCGCCTACCTTTTCAACTGGGCCAAACCATACAGTGATGACACTAATCGAACAAATTAAGCTTTGGAGGTCAATAGTGCTGTATACTCCATAATGATAAGGTTCCCATCCATACAACATAATGTGGTCTGAAGAGGAAAACATCTATGTTAACCATATGCATATCATCTGGCCTTAGAAGATGTGTTTTTACCGCAATCATCAAACGATCAAATGTGGCAGTATGATGTCCCATCACTCCACCAGAGACCTTTAGACCTATCACCTGAAGCACATGTTACATCTTGGTTTTTGTTTGTTTATTTTAATCATTTTAATCAAGATGATTCAAAATGATACTCCAATTTGTGCAGTGTGTCTTACTGTTCCTAATGGTACACTGACCAATAGGGGTGGGGGAAAAAAAATCGATACTGTGTAGTATCGTGATATTTTGTTTGCTAATAATGTATCGATACAGGGACAGCAGAAATCGATATTTTGTTACAAAAAAGGTTTTTGTGCTCAGAGCATGTTGATCCTTTTTCTGAGCGAGAATCCTGACATTCCTTCACTGTCCAAATGTGTTTAACTTGTTTTTGGCAGCAATAAACATGACAGTTTACTTATTTTAATTTAAGACATGTTTTATTTTAATTAAGTTTAAAACTTTTTTATTTAATGTAAAATTATATTTTGTTTTAATTTACTTTCAAATTCTTCAGTTGCTGAATGGGCTGCATAGTTTTCATAAATTGCATAGTTCAGAATAGCTATAATTGTACCAGATGGTTGCATTCAGTTAAGTTGGACTAGACTGTAATACAAACCGTTCAGTTTGTCAACAATAAAACTGAAATGAGAGAAAGACTGAGTGTGAGACTTTGATATTAGATAAATGAATATTGATAAAGTTTACCTTTATGGACAGAATCTGAATATCGCAAAATATTTTTAAAAATTGCAATAATATCGTATCGTGCGTTAAGTATTGTGATAATATCGTATCGTGGGATGTATGGTGATTCCCACCTCTACTGACCAACCAAAATATTTCAACTGCATTTTATTCCAGCAGCATACAACCATACAAACTGTGCATGACACATGTTAGACAGCATGAAAGAATTACTATGCACTTAAAACAAACAAACCAGCCCATTAAACATAGCCAGCTATCATTTGTGACAGTCATAAAATGCAACTTTGCCTTACATGATAGCTCGGTCTGGTAAAAGCACGGCTCGAGTCGTGTGATTGTTCAAGGACAGACGAAACGAGCATCCATAAAAGAGGCAATCTATGTATTCGAGCATCAGTGCACATTTATGGGCGTGTCTATGCGCATTCAGAATCACCAAAACGCTGAACCACAGCGCAGCACAAGTGTAACCAACACTGACAGGCCCATTCATTTGGTCCTGTTTTATTTGAAGCTCGTCAAACTCCAGAAAGTATAGGTCCAAACCATAAACAACATGCCCAACAAACCACACCAGAACAAACCCAGATCTAAACTGGCTCGTCTACACTGCTTTTCAAATACAATCCAAAACCCATCCCCAGAAACCTTCTGACATGCTACAAACATGGAGATCGAGCAGCAACTCATAATACAACTCATTGATGCAGAGTGTAAAAAATGTCCAAGGCCCTGTCCTTCTGATGACTTCCAGACATAAATAATATTAAAGTAATTAGTATTTTCCTCTCAGTTTTTCCACTTGGAATCTTTTATGTGAAGGCTGCAGTAGGTTTTAATTAGTGGCCGGGCTTTATTGGGTGGCATGTCAAATGTGAAAAGAGGATGTTGGAATGGCATGAGATTAAAAGGATCCAACAACACGTGCGAGGGAGATGGAAAACACTCCCTTTCTGGAAAAAAAAGAAGCCATTTTTGCACATTCAGAGTCGAAGTTTCCCTTGGCCAAGATTTGAAAATTAGTAAAGAAAAAGCACTGCTCACAGATGATGAAAATCTGGATAAATGATAGGTTCGTGCAGATTATCAGAGGTGGAAGAAAGAAACTCTAACTAAAGCCAAGTGAAGTGTGCATTAAGACAGTGGTTAGCTAGTCATGCTGTATCAGAGCGACCAGAAAGCCAAAAAGCTAAGGCCCAGGGCCTGTAAACTCTTGAAAACCCACGCCCCAAACGAGGTGCCAAGCCACAAGAAGCATTTGCGTCAACTGGGAATAAAGAGAAAGAAGGGCCGGGGCCCTTCTAATTATAGAGTCTGGAAACGGAAGCGCAGGGCGATTAGGAGTTGAGGCGCTGCGGTCTGTTTATCTGGGAGCTTCCTCTCGCTCTCAAACCCTCTCTCCCCTGTTCTCCGCTCTCGTTCACTTTTGCTCCTCTCTCTGTTTTGGTCGGGCCCTGCCCACCCAGTGGCTGGAGAGTCTGGCCCCTAGCTTTCTGACAGATGAGACTTGGCCACTGCCTTCTGGCCAGGGCCGGTGTTTCTCTTCTGCTGATGGTAGAGTCTGGGCTCCAAAAAAGTAACAGCTCAGGAAGGCTGGAGAGCTTTGCGAGTGCGAGTGCCCGAGGACTGGGGCTTTTGTGGCCTTGTTGAAATACAGAGGCCCTTGCCGAGAGGCGTCAGTCGGTTAGCCCACGGGAGGGCCAAATTAAAAAGCAGCTGAGCGGCCCGGTGGGTGAAAAGAGAAGGTTTTAAACAGCGGCTGGCTACAGCGGGGTTTGACACGTCCTATTTATAACACCTTGTCCCAGGGGTTACAGTGTTATTTACGATGTTTTAGTACCAAGATCGCTGGCACATGCTCTAAGACGTGCGCTAAACTGGAAGGGATGACTTCTAATTTGCCATGTGTGCGAGACATGCGTTCATATGGGATATGAGGGAAGTGATATAATCATTTCCATAAATATCTGCTTTTGCTTTCTGGGGTTTTTTCCTCTTAAAATCTTTTTGTTTTGTTTTGCTGCAGGCTTTAGTGTCCCATCTCTGACCATCCAAACAGAAAACATCTGCTCAATCCCATTAATGTTGGGAGGATGTTTCATTTACAAAGTGGTGGGGCTAGCTTTATTCTTGACAAAGGCGGACGGGACGGGAGGGCGAACGGCTGAAAGAGAGAGAGAGCGAGAAAGGCAAAGAAATAAATGGAAAGAAGAGGGTGATTTCCCTACTTGGCAAAGTGGAACGCCACAACAAAACTAGTCCACTTTTTAATTAACAACACTACGCTGAAAAAAAAAAAAGCTTTGAAAATCGGGAAATTCTCAAATTATAACCATGTGGAGGGGATAAAGCTTACAAGATGGAGTACTTGGGGGATTCGGATAGCCTCGCTGTTACCAGGATGCATAAACTTCAGAGCAAATGAGCCCATTTACTTTGAAAGACTATCCATCATAAAGAGGAGGTTTTGTCTTCAGGGCTGGGAAGGACAGGACGTTATGTCTTTCTGAATGGATTTGTACATATACTGGACATATACAGCTCACAGCCACAATATTAAATGCAATAAAAAGTGAAGAGGACAACGCTGATCCTCTCATTACAAAGCAATGTTCTGCTAGGAAATCTTGGGTCCTAACATTCATTTAAATGCTACTTGTACTGTTAAGGAAACCTGGACACACCCCTGTGACAACAGCATTTTCCAGCAGGACAATTCACCTGTGCAACCAAGGTGCACATCTGGCCTCCAAAAACAGTCCTACATCCATGCTCCGACATGTCAAAACAGCATGAAAGAGCAGTGTTATTTTAGGCAGGTGATTTTAAATGGTAAATATAGCAGTTATTCACTCATTTTCTTTGCCTAATTGCTTTCTATCAAACATCTGCAATTACACTGCCCAACAATCTCCCTGCATTTTATCATATAAAGCCTAATAATATATCCTATACAAATTGTAATACTCTAAATATAATTTGTCATACTCTGCCAGGAAATTTTTGAGGACGTTTCAGAGCGGTGCCAGGAGTTTGGTCTTCAAACGCGAGAATATTAACATGGTTGTAATCAAAGGAACGTTAATGGTTATGTCTACTCTTTATAACTAGAGAAAATTGTGCTACTGATTGCAGTGCAAATTGGAGGGGGAAGAGTGTGCCCTACTAATCTTCTCAACACCGCAGCAGCAGACTAATATACGAGCAGTTTTATATCTGTTGGGCAGCAGAGTAAGCATTAGGGTTAGACAGATGCTAAAAAGCCAAAGTCAGCCGCCCCCAACAAAGCAGAGCGGGTGCAGTCTGACTAATTACTCATTTCTCTTAAAAGTTATAGCTACGTAATGCTTATGTTTTAGTACGGATGGTGTATGTTTATATTTGCATGTGCATTAAAAAACTTTGAGTAGCATATGAACAAAATTTAAACTAAACAACACTAGATGATGTTTATGTGTTGTCGAGGTAAAGACAAAAATGTTTTATTTGGTTAGATCGCTGCAACCTTGACCTTTAACCTCTAAATTCATCCAGTGTTTGAATCCAGCAGTTTTTACTCAGCACTGAAATTTCTGAGCAAAAGTTAACGTCTTTGAATTCATTTGAGAATGAAATTCCTTTTATGATAACGTCATTAGAATTTAATACAAATACTGGTACAAATAAAGATTGTTCAGTGCCTCAGCAGAGCGAGCACCTGATAGCCACAACACCTTTTTTAAAGGCATGCTGTTCAGGTGTATCAAAATTCTCTGGGTCCCTGAAACGCATCGTTCTGAAGATGAAAAGAAGGCCACTTGAAGGCGGACAGAATGGAAGAAAAATGGAGAAAACAAGAGAGGCAGGAGAAGGAGGAGTGCTTACGGTTCATTTGATGTACAGTGG